CACTTTTCAGTCCATCTTGTCATCATATGTACCATAATTGGGGAAAAATGAGAACCAAGATACATCATGTACAGGTACAAGCACCCAATGATAAATGTAAACAAATTGTATACCTAAAATGTACTAATAGAAGAAATTTTTTTGAAAAAAATTTTTTGGCACTGGGAAGTGAACCCAGGGCCTCCCACATACCATGCAAGTGTGCTGCCCCAGCCTGATTTCACTTTTCAGTCCATCTTGTCATCATATGTACCACAATGCTCCTTCCCATCCCCAACAGAGTGCTGTATTTATTACTGAAGGAAACATTTCTCCATCAATACCTTTCCCCCGATATCATCACCTCTCCTTTTTCTTCTCTCCTCCCCAAATCTCTCTATTCTTCTTTATGCCTCAAAATTCTAGTTATTTCAAGGTCCAACTCCAAGTCCCATCTGCTCCATGAAACTTTGAGAAGTAACTAGTTTGTAAAGGATTTTTTTACTTTTCTGAATTCTTGTGATATTTATTCTGTTATCAACTAATACATAAACACATATGTACTGGTTTGATAGGTCTAGTAGCTTTCTTATGGCTGAGACACAATAACAACACCCACAATGTAAAGGAGGAAAGGTTTCATTCGGCACACATTTTCAGTCTACAGTTGGCTGGCTCCAAACGTCATGGGGAAGCATGTGGAGGAGAGCTGCTCAGTTCACGGTGGCCAGAAAGCAGAGCAGGGGAACAGCACCAGACAGGAATGGTCAAGGGACCAAATATAGTTCCTGAGATCACACTTCCACAGCTCCCCCAGACACACCCGGGAGTGTGCTTTACTAATCCGCTCAGTGTTTCTTAACCCAATGAAGTTGACATGTCAGGATTACTGGTCACAATAGGGTATCCATCTGTAACATAGTAGCACCAGCTGCATGGCTTAACAACACCAATACTTGTCTCACAGCTTTGGAGGCCAGACATCGAGGGTCAGGGTACCAGCAGGTAGTTTGGTTCTGAGGATTGTGGGGAACAATCTGTCCCGTGCTTCTCTCCTGGCTTCTGTGGTCTGGTAGGCATCTCTGGTGTTTCTTGTAGGTAGTACTTTCCCTGCATCTTCACATCATCTTCCCCCTGCACAGGTCTCTTTCTTCACATGGTGTCCTTTTATATAAGAATTTCAGTCATGTTGGATTATGGGCCCAACCCTCTTCAGTAAGACCTCATCTTAACTAATTAAATCTGCAATGACCGTATTTCCATATTTGAGGAAGACACAATTCAATCCAGAACAAGATATAATGGAGTTTCATCACACGCTACATAAATTCAATAAAGTGGTCTCAGTTAAGAAACAGGAATAAGAAGAAAGGAAAAACACAACCACAATTTGAATGATTTGGGCAGCTTTGTCCACATTTTTACTCTGTGTCCTGTTATGAAAATGACATGAGAGATGTGATTCTGCCATTCACTCAATATGTCCTGATTTCCCTGCACCTCTTGAAAAGTGAACATCTAATCACTCAGGATGTGTTTCTAGGGTATAAAAATATTCATTTGATAATATGTGACATTTTCCTTATAGGCAGCTTATCTCACTTCCTCAAGGATGATATTTCATGTTTTGTTATTGATATTTCCTCCTTTACCATTATCTTTGTCCTAATGCCTTTTTTATAGCACCTTACAAATCTCTACTATCATTTTAGGAGGGAAAAGGAGGGAGGGATCTGAAGCTACTTATGCATTGAACCTTCATCTTTAGTTAGGAAGGTTAAACTTTTTATCTGGAGATTTGTGTCTTGATTCAATTCTTAGTTGTTATCTCCTAAAGCACTGGTTCTCTGCTGTATTAGTTTTCTATTGCTATGCAACAAATCGCCACAAAGGTAGTAGATTAAAGCAAAACAAATTCATCTAGCTCAGAAGTCCAGGTGGGCTCTGTCTCCTAAATAAGGCACCAGCCTGGGGTTTTATCCAGCAAAAAGAGAATCTAGGGTAGAATCTGCTTCTAAGCTCATCCAGGTTGTAAGGAATTCAGTTCTCTGTAGCCATAGGGTTGAGATTCAGTTAGGGGGTCTCTCTCAGCACATGGCCCCTTCCATTTTCAAACCAGCAAACCAGTTCATGATATCCTTCTTGTCAAGTCCTTCTCGTGTTTCTCTGCTTTTAAGGGTTCGTGTGAATAAATTGGACATACCTGCATAATCCAGGACACCCTTAGTTACACCTGCAAAGTCTCTCTTGCCCTGCCATGTAACATATTCACAGGTCCCACAGATTAGGGTGTGTTATCATTGGGAGGACCATTCTCCCTGCTGTAGAAGCTGTTCCCTTTTGTGCATTCTTGGAGCTTCTTGAGTTACTATCTGTATTTCATAATTGCTTATGTGTGTGTGTATATATATATATATTTGCACTGGGATTCACATAAGTTGTCTAATTGTTTTAATCTAGAGTTTATCCCACATAATATATTTTTTTTAATTTTGATGATTATCTTTTTAACATCCAAATTTTCTGATTGGTTCCCTTGCATGCCCATCTCGTTTCATTTAGTAATTATTATTTTTTTTAAGAGCAGTTATTCCTTCACTCATCTAGAGCAGTGTTTCTCAAGCAGGAGTAATTTTGCCTCCCAAGGGATACTGGGCAACATTTGGAGACATATTATTACAACACCCTGCCATATAGAAGCCAGGAAGGCTGCTAAACATTCTACAATATCCAGGACAGAATCTAACCAAAATAGAATTGTTCAGCCCAAATGTCAGAAGTGCTGCAGTTGTAAAATATTGATCTACATCATTTTAAACATAAAGGTTTAAACTTCGAGGTTTTGTTAGGTTCATTTCATCTGGAGAGAATTCATCTTTTAGTTGTTTATTTTGTTGACCATCTTTGCTAGCAGTAAATTTCTTCATTTTTGGCATTTTGGTTTGCAAGCTCAGTGAAAGTTTTTCATTGTTTTTATATCTGTCTCTCCATTCTTCTCCCTATTATCAGAATTGCCCCAGTCATGAAGCAAGTTTCTTTTATAAAAATCATTATTAGTACATGTTTGTAGTACATAATGATTGCATTCATCGTGGGGAGTAGCTACATGTACATAATACTTTTTTTAAAAATCAGGGTCTTGGTCTATAATTCAAGCTGGCCTTGAATTCACTATGTAGTCCAGGCTGGCCTCAAATTTGTGGTGATCTTCCTTCCTTCCTGAGTGCTGGGATCACAGATATGTGCCACTACCCCCACTATATTTTAATTCTTTTTTCATCCATCCACCTCCATGAAAGCATTTAAATGCTCCTATCCCATAGTGATACTGGAATCCTGCCGAGTCCAGATACCAGGCTCATTTTCTGTTTCTGCCTGCTTAGCCCTGCAGTTTGTCTTGGATGGTAAATGGCAGTAATTTACAGTATTTTGTTTTCTTTTTCTCTCTCTCTTTTTCCTTTTCCTTATTCCTTTGTGTGTCAGGGACCCTGAGCTCAGACCTTGGAGGTGAGCAGTGAGCCTGACTCTGAGTCTTCACTTGATGCAAAGCTCACCTGGAGCTTCTACCCCATTCACCTTTTTTGCATTTCTTTTACTGTTTTTTAATATCCAGTTTTCTGACTGGTTCCCTTGCATGTCTATCTGTTCTTGTTTCAGTTGATAATTCTTATTCTTTTTTAATGGCAGTTGTTTTTTCATCTCCCTAGACCAATGGTTCTAGTACTAATTTGTATGTGTTTCGGGCAAAGGGAAGCCAAAGAGTCACCTTGAATAGATGGACATTGCACAGCCCTTTTGCTACAATATTTTACAGCTACCTCTTTCTAACATATTTAATGTTATGCAGAAGATGAAAATGTATTTAATTGTACTTGTGCAAGATGTTACACAAAAGTCATCTACAGAAGTCAATTCATTGCCTCCAGAAATTCCATAAAACAGCTTATTAAGGCACGTGAAAAGCAGACATGAAATGGAAACGTTAAAGCAATGTATGAATGGGTACAAAGTTAGCACAACCCACAGCAAGGCTAAAGGATATATACAGAGAAACTACTTTTACAGAGTAAAGGCCTACTTGGAAGTGAGAAGGCTTAGCAGGAAAGAATTGAGCTCCTTTCTGATCATCTAGAAGCTTTCAGGAGAAAAATGGGCTAGGATTTGACCACGGGGTTTCCGTCTGTGAGCAGGCTCTCTACATGCAGTTTATTTCTACTTAATTCCATTCACAAATGTGTGTTGTGGTAGATGCTAGAGAAACATAACTGAGGAAAGTCATCTTAGACTCAAAAAAAATTCACAGTTGGGGGCGGCAGGGAGAGACATAATCCTGTTTCCATGGGTGGATTCTATTCCCTGGGTCTACACAGAGCTTTGGGAAGATCGGTTATGGGATAATCATTTACTGTACTGTGTGACAGTCAGAGAAGGTTGCAATGACAACGCGATCTCTCTGCTGGAGGCTGCATAGTGGGTAGGCGTTCACCCTGCAGGTGATGGCTAATCCTCCCAAGGACCAGCGCCAGGACTACTGTGGTCCGAGATTGTCAGGCACAGGTTCCGGGTTGGCTAGTTGGGGGAGCCTTCCGCCAGGGGGCGCCGTGGCCTCGCGTCGTGCGGCCCGTTGGGTTTCCGGGCACCGGGGTCCAGCGCCGCCATCGCTGCAGAGCGCGCGTGTCGCGGCTGGTCCGCCGCTCCCGTTACCGGGGCAACCACAGCGCCTCCCGGGTGCTGATCGAGGTCGTCCCTCCGCGCAATTTTCAAACTGCGGAAGTGGCGGGAGCCGCGGGCTGGAGCGGAAGGAGCCAGCGAGGGAGGCGACTGGGGAGGGCGATGCGGCCACAGGCGGAGGGTGAGGCGGGACGCGGGGGCGGGAGAGCCGAGCGGAGCCGGGCCCGGCGGGCGCTGCGGGGAGGCCGCGCGGCCGCGGGAGGAAGCGGGGCGGCGCCGGCGGGGACGGGCGCGGGCACTGTCCCCACGGCCTGCTTCCCGCGCCCCTTCCGGCCCGCCGCGCCCGTGAGGAGAAGCAAGCCCGAGGTTGGGGTGGGGCCTGGGAAGACTGGGCCGCGGAGTGGGCTTAGCCCACCGGCTCGATGGACCGATGGATTTAAAATTAAAATGCACTCTCAGCGTAAGAACCCTACGTGTCGTTTGTAGAAATATCGCCCCAAAGCGCCTTTGCCCAGCACCTTGGAAAACGTCCTCTGCTTTCTAGTCTCCTCTAGGTTGAGTAAGAAAGGACTCGGGGTAATCTCAGTTAATGGGTTTTGTTGTTTGGTTTTGTTTTTTAAGTCTTTAATTATAAATAAGATGCACAGATATACAGCTGTCCATCCTCCAGGGCTAAATAGTTGGATAGTTCTAAACGTGTATATGTGTATGTGGGATTTCTCAAATCTAGCTTTGTATGTTGTTTTGCTGAAATTTTGAGTATAGCCACAGTGTTTCAGTTCAGGATATGGGGAAGACCATGGGCCGAGAAAGCATAACACTGTACATATTTTTTGTCTTCCCTGGGAGGATTTTAATCACTTTTTATGTATTGTTCCCCTAGCCATGATGTTTTGACTTATTTTGATTCTCATTCTCTCCTGTACCCCAAAGCAAGATGTGAGGAGGAATTATTTCTGGGTAACCAAGATTAGTGGCCAACGAAGAGGGGAAATGTTCATACTACCCTACTAGTCTGAATTTGTCAAGTGTGTTTTTGACGTCTTCGGGAGTTTCCCTAAAACACTAGGCATCAGACAATCCCTCTTACGGGAGGAACCTTGAAAGCCCTTGGGAAAGCCTTTCAGAGGAGAGCCTAGCACAGGCCAAGAGAAAGATTGTAGGAAGCAGTAACTAAAGAGAAGTAGTATAATTTAGAAGTGATTTGGTAAGTACAGAAATCAGAGTGCTGGACAGGACTCAGGCAACCTGCCTTTCCGTGGTATTCTGTGGCTGCTGACCTACTGGTAGCCTTGTGGTTTGGATGAAAGTTTTTCTGAAGACGAGTCTTTCTTGTCTTTAAATACTGAAGGTCCCATTGGCCCTTTATCCTTTGCAGGATTGCTTCGTGATGCTGGTGGTGGGTTGCAGGTCCAGCTGGTCAAATGTTATTTGAAGTGTTATAGCTATGCTACGTATTAAAAGGTTTTGTGGTGACTGGGAGGGATGGGTGGAAAGAACCATACTTAGATAGAAGGGAAATTTTTGCTAGTTTCAGAAGTGAAAGGAAAACAAAGTTGAGGGAACCTTGAATTTAAGGAATTCAAAAGAAGCCACTATGTAGACAGAATTTCTCTTAAAAGGTCATTGCAACTTCCTGAATTCTCTTCCTTGAACTACAGACAGGAGAAACTGATTTTGGGGGATTCTGAAAAGCAATAGGTCTTGTAGAAGGTCAGGATTGAATTGTATCCCCCCCCCCCCCCCCGCCGCCGGGCCTTGGTGGTTCTGGGAATTGAACCCAAGGCTGTTGTGTGCCAGGCCAACACTGTACTGTGGAGCTACATCCCAGCCCATTTTATTTATTTTGAGGTAGGGTCATGTTGAATTTGTGATTCTCTTACGTCATCCTCCTAGGAAGCTAGGACTATGAGGGTGCCCTGCCATGCCCAACTTGAATTGGGATTTTTTAAAAATGAAATCTTGTTTTCTGAGCAGTTACCCGTTTTGATTTCTGTTTGATGTCTAACATAAGTGATAGTTGAGCAAAATCACTCTTCTGGCTCTCTTAGTGAAGTTTTTCTTTAAAAGGAATACATGGATTTGGTTCTATGTTGAAAGCAAGCTCAGGAGTCTAGAGGAGCAATTTCTGATTTCCAGGCTTCCTTGGAACCCAAAATCTCCTGCTACAGAGAAACACCTGTCCAGCACAGTGGCAGAAAGTGACAGCCAACTGCTGTCTCTCCCCTTCACAGACTAAGATGAATTCCACTGGAAAACATAGGTCACTTTTTCCTTAAGGAAGGAGAACTAAAGTGAACTTCAAGCATGACCTGGCTTTTTAGTCCCCTCGTCACGGGATTAAGCCTTTAACCTTAGAAACTGCTGAGAGACACGAAGATGGCATTGCACCTGCAGGCTGATGCTCCCTTACTCCTGAGTGAGGTGGAGGTGAAGATATGTTGCACCCTCTCGGGCTCTGCAGCTCTTGCAGACTTACCTGAGAGCACTCTTGTGACACATGAATGGGCAGAAGCTTCCTGTGATTGGGGTGAAGAAACATCATCTGGCTCCATGGACGATGTTAACTGGAGCAGCTGTGCCACTTCCTTGGACTCATTGGAAAGGACACCCCTGTTTGTGACAGGAAGGGATGAGGAAGCATCTTAGTGGCAGGCTTGTCAAGAATTCTAAAGTATCGTGATGAGTGCTTTTTCTCAGCAGCCTCATTTCTATAAATTCTGCCAGCCACTAGAAAGACTAAGGGACAGAGGAAACCCAACCTCAAATCTACAAGTGTCCACCAACCATTGGGCAAAGAGAATGTGACATCACCACTGAACACTGGACATGATGATCTCACTTTTCTTTGTCAATTTTTTTTTTTTTTTTTTGGTGCTGGGGGTTGAACTGGGTACCTTGTGCTTGCGAGGCAGGCACCGGAACCACTGAGCTAAATCCCTGGCCCGAGCTCACTTTTCTGACCCAAGTGCAGGGAAAAACAACGCCATCTCCCAAACCGATTAATGAAGTGTGAGGAATCCTAGGACACAGTCCATGTGTCACTGGTGTCATGGCACAGGCTTCTGGAGAGCTGCCTGGCTCTAGACATTGTACTCTGATAAGGCTTAGGAGGAGACAGACAGGTTTACAAAAAACAACCAGGAGGAGAAAGGGCTGAGAAACTTCAGACATCTCAAAAGTCAACTACCCGTGTAACAAGGCAGGGGTAGTGCAGAGTTCCCTTTGCAAGATGGTTCAATAGCTGGATATATTCACATGCATTTATACTTTATCAATTGTGAAGGACAACAGAGATGTAAAACAAAGTTATTTGGAAATGGGTATGGTGGTGTACGTCTATAATCCCAGCACTTGGGAGGCTGAGGCAGGAGGATCTCGAGTTTGAGGCCAACCTGGGCCACATAGTTCAAGGGCAGCCTGGACTACTTATCTACATATCCAGACCCTGTTTTTAAAAAACAAAAAGCTTTTAGCTGGGCATAGTGGTGCATGCCTGTAATCCCAGCACTCTGGAGGCTGAAGGAGGAGGATCACTCTCAGTTCAAGACCAACCTGGGCTATATAGTGAGTTCAAGGCCAGCCTGAATCCATAGCGAGACCTTCTCTCAAAAACAAACAAACAAACAAAAAAGCTTTTATTTGGTTTAGAACCATGAATACCATTGACTACATTTAGTTAGCAAAGTTTAGAAAAGAAGAAAATTTCTAAAGAATTGATGTTTAGATAACTCCTTGTTAGGGAAGATTGATAGAGAATATAGTTGTAAATACTTAGACAAGTTTAAAAATGTGTACATAGTACTTAAGTTCCTTTTTTTAAAAAAATGAAGTGAAATGTACATGGTGAAGTGTTTATTTGAAAAGCTTCCATGAATGTATACACCATTACCTCAGTCAACAGTATTTTTAGCACCCTGGAAAGTTGTTAACCCTTCCAGGCAATTTCTCGCTTTCTGGGTGACTGTCGGACTAATTTCTTTCCCATAGTAGTTTTACCAGATTTTGAACTTCATGAAATCATACAGTATATGTGTCTGGCTTCTTTTGCTCAAGCAATATTTTTGAGATTCTTCCTTGTTGTTGGAATATATCAGTAGTTTCACCCCCTTTTTTCCTGAGCAGTATTACAGTGAATAAATATATCATGGATAATCTCTTCTGGGGTTGATTTTCTGCATTTGGGTTGTTTCCAGGTTGGAGCTATTGTGAATAAAGCTGCTGTGAACATTCTTTTGTGGGTGTTTGTTTTCATGTAAATACTGTTGCAAATCTTTGCCAACTTTGGATATTGCCATTCCTTTTAGCTTTAGCCATTCTAGTATGGACAAAATTGTACCTTGTAGTGGTTTTAATTTGAATTTTTCTGATGACTTATTTTGAACACCTTTTTTTTTTTTTGGTACCGGGGATCGAACTCGGGACCTTGCGCTTTCGAGGCAGGCGCCGGAACCACTGAGCTAAATCCCTGGGCCTTGAACACCTTTTTTATGTACTCTTCTTCTTCAGGTGGTTTTTTTTTTTTTTTTTTTTTTTTTTTTGCAAGATCCCTGTTTGTGTCTTTAGCACAAGTGAATTTTAGTTTTAGCCTAAGTTTTCTCATTGGGTTGTTTGTCTTTTTGAGTTATGAATTCATTTTATATTCCATATAAAAAACCCTTCTCAGCTATTGTATTTTCAGGCATTCTTTGGTTTGTCTTTTTGTTTAAAAGAGTATTTTGATGACTAGATGTTTTTAATTTTGATGCAATCCAGTTTATCAAATTTTTCTTTTATGTTGTGTGCTGTTACAAGAGTCCCCTCTAAGAATTCTTTTTCTACTTCAGGCTCTGAAAAAATCTTATTTTTTTTCTATAATCTTTATTATTTTAACTTCTACATTTAGGTTTACAAAGACATCATATTTTAATGCAGCAACGTGGAGAACATAGCAAAGAATTGAAATCAATGTAAATATTCCAAAAGACTGCCTAAATGAGAAAAAATGATTGTTTTATATTAAAAGAATCTCTTCTTTCTATTATGAAACAACAGCAGTCATAATAATCATTCTTTTCTTTTAGGACTTTAGTTTTTGGAATTGAGTAAAACTGGCTTTGGAAGTCGAGATGACAACAGCTGCAGAGAGGAAGTATATTAATATTAGGAAAAGATTGGATCAGCTGGGGTACCGCCAGACTCTGACAGTCGAATGTTTACCTTTGGTAGAAAAGCTGTTCAGGTAAAGATACAAATATGGTTCCGATATGTGACCCCCTAAACCATTTGTCTCATTTCTGATTGAACTCCTTGCTTCTTTAAAGAAATGAACAGACTTAAAAAGTCATTAAAGCTTATCTCTCTTCCTCTGATTCTAATTCCTCTGTCCTCAATCCAGGGTCTGCATATTGCAAAGCTTCAGGCATCACCACTCACACTATATTCAGAGTAAACATTTTGAGAGTTTCTGTGAATAGAATTAGTTTGGAGATACTTTTTTTTTCCAGTGTTGGGGATCAAAAATCCCATCATTCTTTTCACTTCCTGAAGCAGACCTGGAAGTCCTCTTTCATGTCTGTGAGGTGTGATCAAGACAACAGCAAGTGCTGCCGCTAAGTGCCACCACTGCAAAGGCAGGCTAGAAAAAACATTACCATGTGTCCCCCACTCACCTACTCACCAGATCTGGCACTGTGTGACAACTGGCTCTTTCCCAAAGTCAAAATGACCATGAATGGCAAATATTTTGAATTGACTGTGGATAGCAAGGCAGCAATTAAAGACACTCAAGAATGAAGACTTCCAGAACTTCTACAGAAAGTGGCAAGAACGATGATGGGAGGAGGAAGGGAAGTATTTTGAAGGGAGTTAATGGCCATAAAGTGTTTACTGTAATATATTTTTTAACTTTAAACATTCATATATGTTTTGATCACACTTCATATTTTGTTGATCATTGCGATCATGTATTACCTTAAGTGAAAGCTTCTTTGTGATTTATTTTTCTCTTTTACATGAGTTATATTGGAGTAGTTTGAGACTTGAGCAGGAAAGTGTTTAGGAGGATTTTATAGTAGGATTTACAGGCAATAATATTGGAAAGGAGAAAATGAACAAAGATGTCTTATAATTTGGGGGGGGGGGTAGGGGGATTGAACTCAGGACCTTGCACTTACAAGGCAGATGCACTGCCACTGAGCTAAATCCCCAGCCCTGTTATATGATCTTTAACATGACCTCCCTGACCTTTCATGATCTAGTGCCTGCTTTTCCCTGCAGCCTCATCGCCCATGTGTTGAATCACTTGAAGCCTCCTGAGCTCATGTGCACTCTCACCCTTGTTCTCTCTATATGCTCTTCATCTGCCTGTGGAGTCCCTCTCTCCTCCTCCTCGCCTTCCCTTGCTCTTTTGCCTGCTTAGCTTCTAAGTTCACATGTCCTCTAGGACTCTTTCATGTCTGTTGATTTTGCCTTAATGTGAGTTATTATTGCAGACTTGTTTTTGTTTTCCTTTGTAAGACCAAAGGCCCTGATCCCTGCAGTTGAGCATGTAGTAGGTACTAAAGAATTTGTTGAGTTTATCACATAGTTTTATGTCTTTTTGACAGACTATAGAATATAAGCTATATTGGGGCCAGTCATTTAGCTCAGTGGTTTTGCCTCCTGCTGCGCAAGCGCAAGGACCCGAGTTCCATCCCCGGTACCAAAAAAAAAAAAAAAACCAAAGAAATCATTGAAGTGAGGACCTTTTTGTGTGTCCTCCGCAATAAATATTTAGTGGATGATGTTCCACAGGTCTGTGTCCTCAGAGGTAAGGGATTGATGCTTATTTGCTGTGTCTCTGGGGCTTAGCATATAGCAGGCAGTCAAATGTTTGCCCAGTGAATAAATAAATTTCACAGATTCTGCAGACCTGGGGGATGAGCAAGAAGGGAGATTCGAAGATAATTCAGTGTATATGTATTTTATAAGTGTAATTAGTTTTGCTTTCAGAAATTAGGCTCCCCTAATACCTTGCAAGAATCCTAGTATTTATTCTTCTTTAAAATTTGGTATCATTTAACATTAAGATCTATTTTAAGCCTTTTAAAGGTATACTTTAAGTTATTAGAAGATTAATAAAAGGTTTCCTTGAATTTACATTTTCTGTTCTTCCATTTAGTGATTTGGTTCATACAACAGAAAGCCTTCGACAATCAAAATTATCTTCTGTGAAAGCTGAAAAGGAAAGTGCCAATTCTGATTTTGTTTTAGAGCCCTATAAACTTGAAAATGCAAGATTGAGTAAAGAAAATAATGAATTATACTTGGAGTTAATGAAACTGAGAGAGTGCTCAGAACAAAACATTAAAGGTAAATGAAAATATATTAATTTCTAAAATGCAGTGCATTTGCCCATCTTGTTTTATATGTAGAAAGACTAAAATCTTATTTTGAAACTTTGGATTAGAAAAGATGATAGCTCTATAGCAACTTTTCTCATTGCTCAGATACAGTATCTGACTTCCACAATTTAATGAAGACAAGGTTTATTTTGGGTTGCAGTTTGTAGAGGTTTCAGTCTATAGTAGGCTGGCTCCAAGGCCTCCCTTCCAAGGCAAGGGGCATGGCAGGCAGGAAGCAGCAACCATCAAGGAAGAGGAATGCCTGCAGTGACCCACTTGTTCCCACCCGGCTTCCCCTCCCAACATCACACCCAACTATAAACCCATCAGTGAACTAATCCAGTATCACACACCCATGATCCAGTCACCTACCAAAAGCCCCACCTATGAGCACGTGAGGATCTGGGGAGATGTCTAGATATAAGCCATAGCATTTGTGAAATGGAAGAACTTTGTAGATTTCTTAGTCTTTAAAATAGTGTTTTGAAGCCAAGTGTGGTGCCACATGCTTGTGATACCAGCACTTGGGAGGGTAAGGCAGGAAGATCACTGTGAGTTCAAGGCCAGCCTGAGCTACATACAGAGTTCAAGATCAGCCTAAACTGTTTAGGGAGACCCTGTCTCAAAAATAAAACAAAAACAAAAATAGTTTTTGAATCTTTTTCGTTTTAAGAGTTGAAAACTACATTGAAGAAGTGTACACGTGAAACAGCAGATCTGAAATTTCTAAATAACCAATATGTTCACAAACTCAAACTTTTGGAGAAAGAGAGTAAAGCTAAAAATGAAAAAATTCAACAGCTTCAAGAAAAGAATTTGCATGCTGTAGTACAAACTCCAGGTAAGTCTATCCTTCTCAAAACAAAATTTGTTAGAATCCTCATGAAGATAATATTGAGGATTTTTCTTCATAAGGATCTATTGGTTTTTTTCAAGTACAATTCTAATCTTGGCCAGATGTTTAAAAGACAAATTATCAAAGTGTTGTATACCAAAGCAAGATCAATCTATCTATTTTAAAAATTACTTCTGCTACTTATAACATTAAAATATTGCCTACTAATTCAGGTTGTAGCATGACTGTAGTACAGGTTATATTCCATTATATTCTAATTTTGCTATTTAAATTTTTGGTTATCTGATCTTTTGACACTGCTTAATAAGCATGTGTATTCTGGTTTTCAACTGCCGTAATCCCTTTACTGACAATTTTCTGCTGGAGATGATTTCTTAAGCTCATAATAGTGAACACCACAAGGCACACTCAGCTTCTAATCTTACCAAAACCTAATCCCCATCTAGTGGAGGAATAGATTAAATCAGAGCACATATGCCAAGCAAGTGGGCATGGAAATCTTGTTTTATAGCCATGTCTTGTTGAGCTTTTCAGGAATGTGTTATTTAGAGAACAGGGTGAGTATTTTCATATAAGGGAGAAAGTATTTTATCAATATGTAATTTAAACTAGACACTCACTTTATAATAAAAACTACCCTGGAATACTTAATTTAATAGTGTTTTGTTTCTTAATTTTTTAAGACACAATTTTTTTTAAAGGTGGCAAGAAAAGAAGCATTGCATTCAGACGCCAGCGTATGCAAATTGATGAGCCAGCTCCTCCCTCTGAAGTCAATTCCTATCCAGTTCCACAGCCAGAGGACCCTTACATCGCAGACCTCCTGCAAATAGCTGATAACAGGTACACGGGGAGCTCGGCATGTAGCTCAGTTGTAGATTGTGTTCTTAGCATGCACAGCACCCTGGATCAGCCCCCGGCACTAATAATAATAATAATAATAATAATAATATTAAGTAACTTATTATGTTAGTTGGTCACTGATTAGCTGTAAATTTATTGATAGGAAGGCTTTTATGTCATTGTATTCCCAGTATCTAACACAGAACTGTGCACAGGCACTCAATAAATACTTTCTGAATGATACAGAATATTTTCACTTAAGTGAAAATTGAAACTTCAGTCTCAAATAGATTGTATATCTTAGGTTTGTCTTTACTTTAATGCCATCAAGAACCTATTGTGGGCCGGGGATTTAGCTCAGTGGCACAGCGCCTACCCAGCAAGCGCGAGGCCCTGGGTTCGATTCCCCGTACCAAAAAAGAAAAGTGAAAAAAAAAAAGAACCTGTTGCACCAGAGTTGTTGAAACAATTAGTTTCCTTTTGGTACCAGGGATTGAACTCAGGTCCTTCGGGTCCTTGCGCTTGTGAGGCAGGTGGCAGAACCACTGAGCTAAATCCCTGGCCCCACAATTAGTTTCATTTTTAAGTAAGTTATCTTTTCCAGGAGTCTTTGTTACTTCAGATTTAACATTTTAGCTTTTCCAAATGCTAGCTAAGAGTGAATAGATTTATAACTAGGCTTGAAATTCCTTTCTCACAATTCCTATCTCTCAATTCCTATCTCACAATTCCTATTTCACAATGTATTTGTACTTTCTTAAATTGGAATCAGATATGTAACATTTAATTAAAATTCATTAGGCCTCCTGGGCAAGGCACTGTGCAAGTGTTCTGAGGGTGTAAAGATGAGTAAGGTGCTGTTGGCTCTTTTGAGAAGCTTGCAGTTCAGTAGTAAAATGAGACCAGAGAAATACATGAATGCTATTCAGAAAATTGTAGGGTATTCAAAGGAGCAAGTGAGTGAGCACTAGTGATACTGTGGAGATAGCTGGAAGAGCATTCGTACTGGGATACGCTAGTGGGAATAGTGCGCGTAAGTACTGTGCAGATTGTGCATAGAATATGGAGAAGTTTTCTGGTTTATTAGTGTTGATAAATACTAATCTTCAAAATACATTGGTTGAAGAATTGATTAGGATCTCTTCACCCAGTTCTCATACAATCTTGTGTATCTATGTTTATATAGTTACTTAATCTTGAAATATTTTGTTTTTATCTTGTTAAAGTTATAACCTAGGGCTTGTCAGATACTGTGTTAGTATTAAAGAATTATTAGGGCTGCATAGGTGACATTAGTCTTTTAACATTCTGTTTGTATTCAGTCATTCATGCCTTTAGGAGTACACTTGCATATATACTCTTTTAAAAAGTCAGACTAGCAGAAAACTGGTTCCAGTAATAGTAGGAGTAAGCTATGTTTAGCCTCACTCCTCCACCCCATGGAAAAAAAATCTCTCTTAAAAATAGACTTGGGGGCCAGGGATTTAGCTCAGTGGTTTGACCTCCTGCTGCGCAAGCACAAGGACCCAAGCTTGATCCTCGGTACCAAAAAAAAAATAGGCTTGGCTTCCAGCTTCATCATTCCAGTACAAAAACAGGTTATGTCATATTGAGATAGTACAAATACGTTTGGGTACTTGTAGAATTGAGGTAATTCGGACAAAATCTTCATTCTCTTAGAATTTACAAGTCTCAGAAAAAGTGGGTGTTTTGTTGTAGTTATTTGGAAAATTCCCTTTATCTCAATATTTTTCTTCTCTCCAGGATTCCAGAGTAGTTTATTAGACAACATCGGGCTAACATTCTAAAACACATTTTAGCTCCTTATTTCACTTAATGATGTCCTGAATTTTGAACTAGACCGTCACTTTTCTGAACCGAAGAATTAGCAGCAGTACCCCCAAGAGTTGTCCAAAGGATCAAAATGCAATAGTGAAATACTTTGTTGTATAATGTATCTAAGTTTCAAATTATATACTACTTAGTTTTGATTTTTTGGTTTTTTTGGTAGCGGAGATCAAACTCGGGACCTTGCACTTGCGAGGCAGGCAGCGGAACCACTGAGCTAAATCCCCGGCCCCTACTATTCCGTTTTTAATCTAACAAAATTAACTCTCCAAGATAATGTAATACTGTATTCATTTTGAGACTTTGGAATCCTTTCACATAGCACTGATCGCTCATTGAGAATCCTAAAGTATAAAATGTATAAAATAACTCATGTATTTCGATGTTTGGTTATTTTTCTTCACACGTATATTGACATCAATTATAAATGCCTTTCAGGATCCAAGAACTTCAGGAGGAAGTCCACCAGTTACAAGAAAAGTTAGCAGTGATGGAAAGTGGTGTGAGAGATTACAGCAAACAGGTAGGGTTTTTATTTTTATTTTTTATTTATTTATTTTTTTGGTACCGGGGATTGAACTCAGGTCCTTGCACTTGGACAGCAGGCGGCAAAACCACTGAGCTAAATCCCTGGCCCTAGGTAGGGTTTTTATTACCTGGCTGTTTGGGATTAAGATGGATATGCCATGATCGTTACTAGACTGAGTTACATTTTATGTTACTGATAGTGTTTTGATACAGCCTTCACCTTTTCCATCAGTTTGTGAATAGAGTTAATGGTAGGAATGACTCAGATGGTCCCTTTCCTTCATTATTCATTGAGGTGAATAGTAATATTTTCATTTTGTTTTCTTTTCTTTTTCTTTTAGGTGAAACATTTGTGTACCCAAATATGCTTTATAATTGTATTTATTATTTTCTTATTCTTATAGATTTTGTTATTTTGAACATAAATCTCTTTGGAAATTATTCTTTGTTGTTGTTTGTGTGTTTTCTCTAAATGCATGAGTAACTCATAAAGCAGTTTCCTAATGAAGTAGGGAGGTTAATAGATGCAGACTTAAATCATAAGCACACCCAGCTTTGTCCTTTGCACTTTCTGTGGACATCTTGGCTGAAATCACAAGACTTCTTTCTTAATATGTTTTTTCAAGTTTAAATTGGGTAACACATTTTTCATTTTCTGCATATGGCTGCATTTTTTGGAGTAAAAGGATCTGTGGAAACAAATATAGATGTAACTTACCTGTTAGTATAACTTTTGAGTTTGTAAAGTACTTTGAAGCTTATTTGGACAAAAATGGAGGTTTTTAGAAAGAAAATCATGTCAACTTAGAAACTAACTCTATGAAGAAATGTTAAAAATATCAAATATGCAGGAGTTGATTTATTACTGATATTATTCAGCTTATAATCATACTTTCATCACATTTTGTTCCAAGTATTTCTGAGTATAAACTGGCCAGTCTCATCTCTGTGAGGTGGCTGAAGTGTTTGGAGAAAATTGCTTGAGCATTCTGACTGAAACCACCAATTTCTTGTGGCTGTTAGTTAATCTTAGTTGAACCCACTTTGCTGTCTCTTAGTTATTACTATTATTCTTCTTTTGCTTGAGTTTATTTTGTTTTTCTTGGCACATATTCTGAATTTTGCACTACTAGGGCATAGCTCAGGGATAGATTGCATGGTTATCATGGCTAAAGCCCTGGATTCAATCCCAGAACCAAACATAATAACAATTTATAATATCTTCCATTCTCGGGATGCCACCTGAGAAAATAAACTTTCTATTTTTACCTTTAAAATTAGTAGTATTTATACTCAGGCTCTCCTAATAGGTAAGGGGTTGGTTGTTCTTCCTGTCCAAGGCCTAAATCTTCAGATTCACCTCCAACCACGAGTTCCCTTGTGTCTTACAATCCAGTCACGCTGAGCCAATTCTAGTGCCTCAGAAGTACCACATTGCTTTTTACTTTTGTGTCTCTGGTGCTCGCTTCGGCAGCACATATACTTTTGTGTCTCTGCCTGGAATATCCCACTTATTTATTTGATAAGGTCTGATAATTTCCACAAACACACATATACCATGCCAACTAAATCTGTTAGCTAGTTTGGTGCCAAATACCTATTTCCTTTATTCTGTCATTGAATACCAGGTAATACAGTAGTTAATTGGCTTACTAGTTTCCCTGTAAAAAGGTATGTGTTCCTGAAAGCAAGAGAGACCATGTTTTATTCATCTTTGTATACCTAGTTTTATGCTCGAGAGTTACTTGTTGAATTGAATGTTTGGGTTTTTCTTTTTTTTTTCTTCTTTCTTCCTTTGCTTTAAGAAAACCAAAGCTTGCCCCGGATTACCTGTTGTTTTCTAAATAATAGATGATTAAATTGATCCCAGTTGTCTGTCTTTTTTAATACTGAGAGTTGGTAGCAACAACTCAGTTTTCTTTGTGTTTTACATTTATTGCACATTCATTCTACCAGGCACTGAAGTAGTTCAGACTCACTTCCAATACTTGAACATGTATACAATCTGCTGACATATTTCTTTTTATTTTTTATTTTATGCGCAAGGCTGGTGCAGCAGGAGGCAAAACCACTGAGCTAAACCCCCGGCCCCCACATTTCTTTTTATATATATCAATTGTTCATTCTTAGAGGAGGGGGAAAAACCCAAAATTAAAATAGAAGGAAAATACTTATGGAGTGATATTGATGATTCTTAGGTTGACATTTTCTGAATTACTTCCTTTTGCTCTACATATATGTATTATACATATGAACACAAATGTGAATGTTAATCTCTTGTATACATTGTGAGACATAACAAAAACATGTCCAAGTAAATGTTCAGTGTTAATCATTTGGTTCAGAACCAGATATTTTAAAAGGGATGGGGGCCAGGGATTTAGATCAGTGGTACCGCCGCCTGTCTTGCAAGCACAAGGTCCCAAGTTCGATCC